TATTGACAGCCAGGACCTTTGTATTTGGGAGGAACCAGGGGTGCGGTGCAGTGGCTGTGGCTTTTTAGGGGTTACCTGAAAGAATGTACGAGAGTGTGTGTGTGTGTGTGTGTGTGTGTTCGTGCATATGTGTATATATTGGTATAATGGCTCCAAAATATGGGGGAAACTGCCAAGTCAAAATGAATAAGTATTTAATGAAATATTTATATTTAAATAATGAAATGTAGCATGACTCAACCAGTCAACTCTGGAATATTTCACCTCTTTGTTATTTATCGATTATCCCTAATGCAGGATGTGGGTGGAGATGGCGTGGGATGAGTGTGTGCTGAGAGACCCCAATGTTCTTGAAACTAACTTATTCACAGTTCCACCCAGATGGCCCATGAGGGGGAGGGGGGGAGAGTTCCCATAGGCGCTGGGTGCTGTCAGCCCCATTAGCTGCCACTTGCTAGGCACTTAGGATGTGCCAGGTACTGTTTCACGTTGGTTCCCCCCACTTTACATACAGTAGGCAGTGGCTTTCTGTCCTGTTGCCCACTGAGGCACAGAGGGGTGAGGTCCCTTGCCTGGGGTCCCACTGTTAGGAGGTGGCAGACCAGGGTTCACAGCCAGTGCTGTCAGCTGCTCTCCCATATTACTTGGTCTTACCCAGAGAAAGGGGAAGAGGCTGCTGGCAGGTACCAAACACAGTGTTCCCCACACTCGCCCAACCAGCTCACCAGCACAGAGAATTGGCCCTAGCATTCCTATTAGTGTCCAGTTGCCAAAACCTTCCATCTCCCCTGTATCCAAAACGATGCCTCTGACTGTCTGCCCTCCTGTGCCAGGATTACCTCCCCTCAGTCCCCAGTCGCAGCAAGACGCAGCTTTCACAGACCACAAATGCGATTATTACGAGGCAATTTCAGTTAGATTCAGGGCTGGGAGAGATAACAGAAGGGCCTGGCTCTCCCATCAGACCCCGAATGGTTCCCCAGCAGCACTTAACTCAGACAGATGGGAGAGCAGCAGCCAGGAAGGGAAGCGAGCTCAGAGCTTTCCAACCAAGAGCCGCCTGCGTGGGCCTGAGGACCAGGAGAGAGCCTTACGCAAGGGTTTGGGGGTCAGCAATCCCCTGGGGGAGGGGAGGCAGAGATCCTGACATCTGTCTCTACAGTGACTCCATTAAACAAGATACAACGGAGCAAGAAGGTGGCTAGAAAGGGCACCCATTGGTGACAGTGAAACTGTAGCACTTAGTGGGCATGTGCTATGGACTGATCTGAGCAATGTACAAACATTGCTCTCATAACAGCCCCATGAGATAAATAGTTATCATCCCCCGTTGTATAAAGGGATAAACTGAGGTGTCAAGAGATTAAACGACTTGCCCACGAACGCACAGCGTACAGTGCTGTGAAATACCTCCAAGGTCCCCTTTAAGGGGAAGTGTTTTTGCCAGCGCCGCTTCCTCTGGGATCTCCCCACCCTTTTCATCACGGCCACTTTTCCTCACTTAAGCCGGTGATTAAGTTCGCCTTTGGCCAGGTTCTTCTGGCTGCTCCTCTCGTTTCCCTGGAGCGAGTGCCCTCGCTCCCAGGGGCGGCCCGTTTCTCCTAAACTGCGTTCGGCTTGGCTCGGGTTTCAGCCTCGGCACCCTGACGGGCTCCTCGCTGCACGTGCGTCTCTTGCTGGTTCCCTCCTGGCGATCATGTCCCGACACTGTCTTGTAGACGCATCACCGGGAGGCGAGGCTGCACGCATGCCGTGCGCCATAGCCCGTCACCGGTTGACTTTGCAAAAGTGCCGTGGTTGGCCGCTGGTCACCATGCACAGATGTCATTTACATCTCAGTTTGTGGACTGGAGAGCCAGTTGCGAAGTTTGTACTTTGCATAATCACAGTGAATATAGTGTGGTGGCTAAATGGAAAACCGGTATTTAACCGAACGGTGGGAACTGACATTCGTGCGTATCAGGACGTGCGAAGTGAGGACTGCCTAGAATGGGCTGCCCCCCTCGTCGTTGCCGTCCACTTGGTTGCGTCATTGGGTGTCATTCCTTCGCACTGTGGAGCCCCCTCACCGCCTTGGCCCAGTTCAGCGTCTGCTTCCTCTCTCTCCCCGTCTCTCACCTCTGCTGTTTTCTTCCATGTTGCTCCAAGTTCAAATAGACTCTCCCATCATAGTGGCGAGATGACCACAAGCAGACTCAAGCTCTATAGAAGAATTTCTCTTTGCCAGTAGCTCTTTAAAAATCCCAGGGCTGCGTCTCATTGGCCCAGCTTGGGCCACATGCCTGTCTGTGAACCAGTGGCAGCAGGCGGGGAATGCGGTGCTCTGATTGCTCAGGCTGAATTCAGATCAGCCTTTGTGTACTTGAGTAAAGAAGTGATGGTACCCAGAGAATCACAGTCGGGACCAGGCAAGTTCCCACTGCCAGGTGTAAATTTCCACGCAGGGCCTGGCACATGGGAGCCAGTACATGCTCCCTCCGTCTTTTCAGTTGATGCCAGCCCTGCTTCCTAGGGACAGCCGGCAGCCAGCACATTGTCATGGCCTTTCCTGGCCGGGCATTTAATTCCTCTTAATCTGCCTGCCAAGTTGTTTCACCCCTCGCACCAGCCCCAAGTTTGCTCTTCCTTTGGCACCGTCCTAACCAGGAAAGCTCAGTGACATCAGCCGTGACACTGGCTGTATTTTTCTTCTTGATTTTAATTCCAGCTCACTCTCCTGGCTCTGTGTCCCAGCCCAGAGCCCTGGGGCCCACGCTGATTTGCTTGTCCCACCTCATCTGGTGCCGGAATAACCATTTTAAAAACTGCCTTGGGGAAATCTAATCAAATGAGAACAAAATCTAATTTGGCTCTAAAAGCTTTTGACTGAAGCCCTGTTTTCTAGGGCCTTGTGGAGCCTGAATAATAAACTCTTTCTGGGTTTTTTCAGGGTTGAGGGTTAGAGAGAAGGGAGATGTGAAAGAGGAGATTCTAGCAGAGGAAACAGCTCTGGGCAGTTTGACACCCATGGCATTGGACAATAATAGGCAGGGGTAGGCTTCCAAAGGTTCCCCACTTCCCACCCCCAAGAAATCGTTATCTCACCAGCCAGGCCAAGAATTTAAGCTTATTAGCATTCCATACTGCACATTTCTCGGAAAGACCATGGCCCAGATCTTCAGGGACAAACCAGTAGATCCCAAGCCAGGGACTTGGGAGACCTGGAGGAGAGCTCAGTTCCCCCAGTGGGAACTTCAGTAAATCTCTCTCTCCGGGGTTTCGTTCAGAACGTTGAAGTTCTGTGCTTCTTAAATTACTGTGGCCCTGGGTTCCTTTCAGAATATGTCTAAAGCTATGGCCCTGTTCCCTGGAAAATGCACACAAAATGCAAAGTCTGGCGTATAATACTTCAGGGGACATGTGCTCCTTTTTAAGTATCCCTGTCATGCTTCCTGTTGCTTCTCTTCAATGTGCCCTCAGGACCCTGCACGGTTTGGCCCCTCCTCCCTCACTGGCCTCTTGGGGTTCCTCAGATGCCCAAGCTTGTTCCTGCCTCCGGACCTTTGCACTTGCTGTTCCCTCGGCCTGAACAGTTTTCCTTGTATTCCTGTATTCACTCTGACTCACTCTCATCATTCCTCACAGAGGCCTCCCCTGGCCACCTAGCCCAGTGGTGCCTCCAGTGACCCGCCTCTGCCACTTTGTCACATTGTCGTCTTTTATTTTCTTCGTCACTGGTATCACCGACACCATCTTTATTTGTCACAGCCCCCTACTCAGATGTCAGCCCCCAGAGGGCAGGGACCCTGTCAGTCTCACTTGCTGCTGTGTTTCCAGTGCCCCGGACAGCTCCTGGCACACCATGGGTGTTTAATAAATAGTTGTTGAACGGACATATTGATTTTTACCATGTCCAGGCACACGGATTCTGTTCTTTACTTAATATTTTCCTCTCTATTATTTTATTCTTTTTACTTCATTTATTTCAAGGGGAAACTTTTACATCACCACCAGTATTACTTGCCATGAATAGAAAGTGACAGGGCTCTGTTAGGGGTCTTATTAAATTTTACCTTTCCCTTGTTGAGGTTCTGAACCAACTGAGAAATAAAACTAAGGGACAGCAAACAGAAGCCAAAATAGCACTTTGATGAATCTGACAAAGCCTAGGCTGGAGGCACAGGCTCCTTTCTGGGGGCTCTCATGACTACTGCTGCTGTGAGCTTGTCCTGTTCGTGACTTGGTGATCGTGTGAATGAATGCAGTTCTGTTGAGTAAAAACCCAAGATTTGAATCGCAGAAGCTATAAATATGTTCAAGGGTAACCAACACTGCTAAACAGTCTTCCACAGCAGTAGAACCAGTTTACATGCCCACCAGCAGTATATGTGAGTTCCAGTTGCTCCACATCCCTGCCAACACTTGGTATTGTCCATTTCTTAACATTAGCCATTCTGGTCACTGTGTAGTAGGTAGAATTCAAGGGACGCATAAACTTGAATGCAAAAAACACTCTTACTTTCATTAGTCTACAACTGCAACTTAGCATTTGCTTCCATTATGAAGGTAGGCCATAAACCACAGTAGGTGAGCAGAACCTATAACTCTGTCATCCGTGGAAATCAACCATGATTTCAACTGTAATATTCCATTGCATTTACTGCAGATATTGCAAAATAAAATATGTCCATGTATCACTACTCTGAAATTATCACTCTTGCTTTTACTGCCTTAATTAAAAATTATTTTTAGAGACACCTATGATCATATGCCAAAATATTTTAATATGTTGGTAACTATATTTCAGAATAATTGATCTTCTCTGTAATCCTATATTTTTTGTTTTATGCATGTAAAAACATTCAGAAGGGAGTCACAGGCATCACTTGCTCCCAAAGGGCCCCTTGCTGAGAGGACGGGGCTGTTTTCAGGCCTTGAGCTCAGGACGGTTGGGTGATGCCTGGGACAGACTTTTGCTCACTGCTATCTCACACGGCCTCCTGGTCCCTCCTCCCCTCCAGCTTTCTTCGGGAAGTACCTGAATGAATATAATGGCTCCTACGTGCCACCGGGCTGGAAGGAGTGGGTCGGCCTCCTTAAAAACTCCCGATTTTATAACTACACGCTCTGTCGGAACGGGGTGAAGGAGAAGCATGGCTTTGACTACTCCAAGGTGAGTTCTGTAGCCCACTGCGTTGTTCCTCTGCCCCTGCCCACCCTGCCCTCCAGGGATCATGCAGTGAGTCACACAGTCAGTGGACTTGGGTTCAGAGCCCCGTCTTGACGTATATTATGTGCCCTTGGTTATGCTACCTGCTCTTAGGAGCCTCAGTTCCCAAGTCTGGGAAATGGGTATGCCTTTGCATCCTTAATCATGTGTGCCTGCTGTGGTCCAGGAACTGTGCCGGGTGTTTTATGTGTATCTCTGATCTTCACAACAGTCATATAAGGTGAGTGGACTAGTTGAATTTGATTATGTCATTCATTCATTCCCTCGACAACTATTTATTGAGAGGCTTCTCTGTGCCAGGTGCTGGGTATCCAAAGGTGAGCCACAGCACAGTATAGAAACACATGTATGTGTGCGTGCGTGTGTATACACACACACACACACACACACACACACTTTGTCTCCTATTTTGTCATCCCGAGTATGAGCTATTTCAACCATAATGCCTAGCTGGTTATTACAACCATCTCAAAGTTTACTAGTGCTTTCCTGCCCTGAATTTATCTAAGTCTTATCTACCTTCTCTTCCAGGAAGTCTTCCTGGGTTGCCCTAAACTGCAGGATTTATCCTTTCTTGAATCAGACTGTCTTCTTTCAGTTGTTTGTGACCAGAAACTTAAAATGGCTCAGTTGAAGAGGAAACATATGTAACTGACCCAGCGGTAATAGCATCAGGCGTAGCTGGAGCCAGGGGCTCAAACACAATCTTCAGGCAGCGGTTTCTCTCTCCTCTAAGCTCTGTTTTCTTCTCTTTGACCCCATTCACAGACTCTCTTTCCCCTGCTAGTAGCAATACAGCCGTCCTTCCATCCTCTCAGCTTCCTGCCCAGCCTCATTGCACCTCGCTGGCTCTGGCTCAGGCATATAATTCTAAAACCGAATAGTGAAGATGGGTTTATTATGAAGAGCTACAGCCCTCTTCCCACCCCACCCCACAGGCCGGGGGCAGCAAGTGTCAGCTGGTGGGTCCCCCCACGACCTCACTGCCATTTCTGGATTCATCCCCCAGAGGCACTGACTATTGATTTCCTGTTGGGGTCCAACCCCTCCTCACCCAAGAGCTTTGCACCATGTTCAGATCCACTGTTAGTTACCTTTGTCATTTAAGAGCTTTTCTAACATCTTTAGATCACGTTCCACAACTATGCCGGCGCTTCTCCGATTGACGTAACATTATTTTTAAGTAATTGGTTCTACAAGCCCCCTTATAAACCCTGTTGTACTCCTAAAATTAATCATAGAAAGGATTCAAGGAAAAGCACCTCGAGTAGCAAATGGCTGTCCCTGCTTCGCTCTGTTTCTCGCAGTCCCCAGTTAGCACTTGGATGACTGTCCTTCAGGGTTCTTCTTTGGTGCTCAAACGCATACGAAGAGAGGGGTTTGGCATCGCCCCCCACTCTGCCTTCCTCCCTTCTTCCTGAAAAGCTAGGGTCTCCCTGGGTTTGACTCTGTGGCCGGCTCTTTCTCCTAACAGTGTGTCCTGGATGACTTCCCACCTCTGTGACCACAGGCCAGCTGCCCTTGTAACGTCGGCACAGCCTGCATAGTAGGACGGAGTGTGAGCCCATTAGGTCATCTTCCCGTTGCTGGTCACTGCTGTATCGACACCACTGCGGTGGCCGTCCTTGTGCACAGGGGCAGTGTGTGCATGTCTCTGAAGGTGGTGTCGTGGACACACGCAGACACATGGTGTGTGTGTATGTCATAGAGTATAACTCAGGTTAGAAGCCGTGGCCGCTTGTTCATGTTTTCTCCCTCCAAAATAGTATCCTTCTTTGAAGGACAGTATCCTTCTTTGGACAGAGCTGCTTCTTAGGAAGCTGCGGGTAAATTTCAAGAACTCATTACCTTCCAAGGAGATCAGAAGCTAAAGATTTGCCAAGTTCATGAAGGGGTTGGGCGCATCTCACCTTCTTGGCCGAACTTGAAAAGCCCTCAGTCTCTGCCCGGTACTTTGCCCCCAGCTCTCCTCTCCTGCTGCCCGGTACCTGAGTGGGTGTCACTGCACGGGCCCCGGTGCTGCTCCTTAGCGCGTCCCTGTGTTGCACCTGCCGGGTCGCCCTCTTTTCCTCAAACGCGCAGCAAGCTCATTCCTGCCTCTGAGCCCTTGCATTGGCTGTTCCCTCTGTCTGGAACTCCTTCCTAGATCAGTGGTTCTCAGTCCTGGCTGCGCATTGGAATCCCCTGGGGAGCTTTTAAAAAGTCTGATGTCCAGGCTGAACAACTGAGCCAAAATCTCTGAGAGTGGACTCAGGCATCAGTAAAGCTCCCCTGAGGATTCCAGCAGCTGAGATGAACCCCAGTGATATAGATCTTCCCATGCCCGGCTCCTTCTTATCACTTAGGCCTCAGCTCAAATGTCACCTCCTCAGAGAGGCCCTCCCTGACTGCCCCAGCTAAAGTATACCCTCCCACCCCAGCTCCCAGTTACTCATTGTCATATTTTGTCTTACTTTCGTCATCTGTCTCTCCCTGTCACTATCTTGGTTTTTTGTTTCCTTGTTATCTGCTGCTGCCCCCAGGCCTCCAGAAATGCAGGGCTGTACCCTGCTGGATAAGCTCCCCTGGAGTCTTGAAAAGACGTCAGGCTCCGGAGGCCTGGTTGCAACATTTCCAGCTGTGTGACACTGAGTCACATAACTTCTCTGGGCTTTCATTTCATGCTCTGGAAAACAGGGCTCATCACACATACTTTCCTTGGCTGTGTAAGAACTAAGCAAGTGAATGCAAGGAAACAGAACGGCTCCCGGCACACGGTCGCGCTCACTGGTATAAGCTGTTATTATTTTGATGTCTAGCATGAGCGAGTGGCAAATTGTGATTTCTCACCCATCCTTTCTAACTTTTCTCTGCTTTTTTTCTTCCATTATGCTTAGCACCATTTGACATTCCTATTTTTTACTTGCCGACATATTACCTGTCTGTGCCCTAGACGGTCGGCTCCACGAGGGCAGGGACCGGCTAGTTTGGTCCCTGCTGGGGCCGTCCCAGTGCCCAGCACGGCGCCTGGCACACGGCAGGCGCTCAGCACACACGCTCGGCTCCTCACGAGCTCTCCCCCCGGCCCCCAGGATTACCTGACAGACCTCATCACCAACGACAGCGTGAGCTTCTTCCGCACGTCCAAGAAGATGTACCCGCACAGGCCCGTGCTAATGGTCATCAGCCACGCGGCGCCCCACGGCCCCGAGGACTCGGCCCCCCAGTACTCACGCCTCTTCCCCAACGCGTCCCAGCACATGTAAGCTTCGGCGCCTGCCCGCAGGGCCCACGGCTGGTGGGGAGGTGGCGGGTCATGAACGGCAGTGACAGACTGGCTCAGAGAACCGGGAGCACACAGCTCGTCTGTGCGGAAAGCGGGACACAAATCCAGAGGGACAAGTTTTTAACTTGGGACCCACATCCGCCCCCGGGGAGGTCTGTGGCTAGAACTGCAGTTCAGTATAATAGGTTTCCTTTGTAACCCTATGTGTTTTATTTTAAAACATTTCTTTTGGGAAGTGGTCCATAGCTTCATCAGATACTCATGTATCCGCCCGCCTTATGTGGCAGGCTCTGTGCTAGGCCCTTGCATGGCACCAAATCATTGAATATTCACCGTGACCCTTGATATATTAGTTAACAAATTACCCCAAGATCCAGCAGCTTCAAATGACGGTGTGTGTTACCGCACAGTGTCTGGGAGTTAGGTGTCTGGGAGTGGCCTTTTGGGGAGGCGCTGGCTCAGGGTCGCCTGAGGTTCTGATGAAGGGGCTGCAGCTCTGAGGCTCACCTGGGCTCGCCCGTGTGGCAGCTCCTCGACCAGCCCCTCACGGCACAGTAGCTGCCTTCCTCCGGAGCAAATGATCCGAGAGAGAGAGAACGATGGGTGCGGAGCTGGCAGGGGAGGCCAGAGTCTTTCATAACCTGATCTCAGGTGACACACATCAGTCACTCTGCCACATTCTATTGGTCACGTGGACAGTGCTCCTGTGGTGTAGGGGCTACACAAGTGTGTGCCTCTCAGGAGGTGGGGGCCATGGAAGGCTCTCTTGGAAGCTGTCTCTCATCACACAGGGTATTCCCATCTTGCAGGCCAGGAAACAGAGGCACAGAGAGGTGATGTAACTTCCCTCAGGTCGCCCAGCTGGTAACGGCAGAGCCAGGGCTCAGATCCGGCCCCCACTCCCACCCCCCATCCCTCCGTTCAGCCCTCCAACCCTCCTCCCTCTAGCTGGCTAGTAAGTCTTTCTGGGAAGTTCTGCTTTTCTCTGCCCCAGACATTTTCCCGCTTAGTGGAGACACTCAGCAGCCCTTTCTGTGACATTGGGGTGACAAAGACAGGGCAATTTAGAATCCTACCGAACATTCCGGTGTTTAAATTTTATTGCACTCAGAATGTATTGCTCTGTACTTACTTTCTGACAGGACCCAAAGTGGCTCAGAGAGGATAAGGGGTGTGCTAACCTCTGATCCCCTGGGCTCTGGGGGGAGGATTTGACAGGTGAACTGCATTCCAGGGGCTGCAGTGCCGCCCTCACCCCCCAGAGGGCAGCACTGCCTCTCTGCACACCTGCCTTGCCTGCCCCCCAGCCC